TGTTTGTTACAGCACATGGACAGTTTCCTTTCTCGACGGATTATATAATTTATCAACTTTGTTATTCTCTTTCTCTTGCGTATTGCGCAATTGAAATGAGATAGGAGAAGTGAAATTCCAACTTCTTTTTCTCTTGTCTTCGTTTCTTTAACTGTATTCCCTCGTGTCTAAAAACCACTGTTTTTCTTCGAAAAATGGAAAGAAGAAGAGAGAAGATAAAGTGATGGTTATTCAACTATCTCTACGATGCTCTCTATCATATTCAATTTTTTTTGCAATCTACTATGCAATTCCTTCGGATCATGTGACTCTAATTCGAAATATACACCATTGATGCGTTTTCAGATATATAAACTCATTTTCTGACATTGAGATACGTATATTTATGTTACTTTTCAGATTAAATTTGCGATGAATTAATATGCTGATTGATGAAACTGGCATAGAAGCCTGCGATAGTGACACATTACTGACGAGAGAACGTATCCGACTGTCGGATCGCTTTCGAGTCAAGAATAGGTGCATCTTGTAGAGCTCAGTGAGCTATGTCCATTCTGAAATAGATTCGTGCCCATGGCCTATTTCTGAGAAGATCGAGTGTTTGTAGTTTTACAGCTGGAAATGTCGACAATATCTCAATTATATTGCATCAAAATGATCTCCGATGTTGATAAAATCTTCAGCATTTATAGAGTTTTTAATTCTAAGCATTCTCATGAAAAAAGTTCTTGAAAATGCTTTTGTTTTGATGGAGATAGACTCACAACGCTTTAACCAATGAAAACCTAGAAAACCTCAAGAAAACTTTTTTCTGAGTTTTTTTACTTTTATTGCTTAAGGTGTTTTGAGTCTATCTCCATCAAAACAGAAGCGTTTTCAAAAATATTTTTCATAAGAATGCTTAGAATTAAAAGTTCTATAAACGCTGAAGATTTTATCAACATTGAAGATCATTTTGCTACAATGTAGTTGAGATATTGTCGACATCTTCAGCTGTAAAACTACAAACACTCGATCTTCTCAGAAACAGATCATGGACACGAACGATTTTTCAGGGTGGACATAGTTCACTGAGCTCTACAGAATGCACCTATTCTTGACTCGAAAGCGATCCAACAGTTGGATATGTTTCCTTGCTGATCGTGAAGGAAAATATATATTCTAAAACTGTATATGAAATTTTATTTTTATTAAGCAAAATAATTATTAGTTCTTGTTTTGCATTGAACAGGTGACAAATAAAATAATCGATGTTGTGCACCATTTTAATTGCTTGTTTCATTGTGAATTATAAACGTAATTTTTCTTTTTTTTTATTAAAAATCTCAACCATAAAATGTAATACAATACTTTGTCATCAACATGTAAATATATTTATTCTTCAACAGAGAGTACCTGTAAAAACTGCGGACATGCCTAAGCTACAAATAATCCTTTATAATATCTTGTATAAAATCTTAACTAAAAATTGCAGTTAATTATTTTTTAAAAATATTTTCAAGCTTAGTTGATGACAGATAATGATTCACTCTAAATCATAAAAAAAAATGAAGATTAATTTCTGTACTCACGCGATCCGAATCAGATAAAAATCACCAGTAGACCTTTCGGTGTAATATGCGCTATACTGGCGATCAATCGGTGATAGTTTGATACTTAAATGGTTGATTATCCTCTGACCGACATTCTACCATTGATATACCAGTGGTAGTGCGAACAAACGTTCTTACGACGTGGTGATAAAAAGCGAAACAAAAAAGAATTTAACAATTTTCTAAGTTGTATAATTAATTGACACAATTTTTGCATTTGATTTCATCTAATTTCAAAATTCTTGTCTGTTATGTAATGTATCAAAATTGAATTCTTATATTATTAAAACGTTTATCTTTTCTAATTAAATTCACATCGCTAATATTTTGATAGAAATTGAATATGTGATGATATATGAGCCATTTTAGGCAAAATGAGACATATCCACCTTTCATTTGACTTTGATTCTTTACAAGATTTTTTTTAATGAATAAGTTCTTTTGGCATACATATATGTAAAAATATTGGCTCTTTCAGCTGGCTATTAATTAAAAAGTAATTAGCGAATATCTCTCTGACCAGATGAGAAAAAAATTCGAAAATTCCAGCATCAACTTTACGGCATAAATCGCATCTATGATGAAATTTTCAGCAAAATCAGACTCCCAAATAAAAGTTTCTTCGAGATTCTATAAAGTCCTGAAACAAAGATTTTTATCTTCCATTACCGAGACATTTTGAAGAAGGATTTGTACCGTTTCGAATCCAGTTACAAGAGCATTTTTCCGTATTTCGTCATATCGCTAACGACAAATTTTGTGAAAATCTAGACATGTTCAGAAAAATTTTAGATAGAAACTTTTTAACCTCAAGAGTTGTCTACAGAATGTACTATTTAGTTTTGTCTCTATTCGGAACTTTTTTAAACTAAAACGTATGAAATGAAAGTCGATGTCATTTTCTGTGTCACGTTGCTAAACACTAGTTTTTTTTACTGATAACTCCCCTGAACAAAAAGTCTCTAGCACTGATTTGTTTAAGGTATCTAGAGTGACTTAAAATATAAAAATCAGCTCTAGGACAGTACATTATTCCACGATAAATGTGTCTGATTTTTGCAAAATCATGTTGCTAACGAATGATTTAGTTCATATATGAATAATTGTTTGTTGAATATATTTTATATCAATCAGAATCATTCATATAGTAGTAACATGTGTTAGATCATAGTGTGTTTCAGAAAAAAAGACTTTTTCTTCTGGTAAACTTTTAAAATATCGCATGGAAAGTTGAATTTCTGTATATAATTCGATTAAAATAATATCTTCAATAGGAGCGAATCAAATTTTTTCTTGTCGATCAAAAATTATAGAACTTAATGAATTGGAATAATCTGTATATTTATTGATTGAATTTCTCAGATATAAAAAAAAAGAGAGAAAGACTCATTAATTAGTCAGTTTTTGAACTGTATCATATATAGATTAATGACAAGAATTGTATAAGTATTATCGTGATTTGGAATACTTTTTAAAATATCCAGGTAGTTTTATAATATTCAATAGATTTATTTTATCTATAAATAATTGAATAAAACCGAAGGGTTTTGTTTTCTTATCTGCCTTTTCACTTTGAGCTTTATTTATTTCCGTTGTAATAACTTGTTACACAAAGTATTTGTGTAATCTTCTTTTGACAAAAACTATTTTCCATCACGTTTGTTCCTTTTCATTTTTATTCAGAAATGAGAAGTAATATTTAAATTGTCAGAGTAAATTTCTTTTTATTATCATGATTTACTTTGAATATAATTGTTTTTCGGGGGAAGAAAATGCTTTTTGATATGCTTGATTATATACATGATAATTAAAAAAAAGCCGTTATGTCTTTAGATAATACTATAGCCGTTCGTAGAATATTGTCAAAATGCTAAATGCAATATTTGATTTCATGGTTTATTGAGATACGTAAAATATGGTATAGTTGTGCCATTCCATATAACGCATAATACATGTTCTGTTATCCTATTTATTCAATATTGAAGCAAATAAATCAACAAAACATACGATAAAGAAATTGTTGATCAGATTTTTCAGACAAATGGCGTTGACATTAAGAAAAATGAGAATATTAAATTAAAATCTACTACATGAATATTTTGAAGATAATATTAGGAAAATAAAAAAAAGAAATGTTGTTTATTCTACATAAATCAATGAAATTCTTTTCATTGTATCAAAAGAGAATTATAGTTTAGAAAAAAATCAGCCTTCATCTCAGTTGTTCATCGGCCTTAAGTGTTGTTCTTCCCTTCACCCTCTGCCGAACATCTGCCTTTAGCCTAATTTCTTCCATTTGATAATAAGATATATAATGGAGTTTATAGAAGAATCCCAAAAGTTGCTGCCTCTTGAATGAATTTATTCCGGAAAAAAATTTTCTTTTTTAAGGACATTCATTTTAACCATAAACAACATTGGAATATCATGAAAATATATAATTAAAGTTCTTATTCTACGCAGCAATATTTTATAGTCTGTTTAATTTATTAACAATATTTCTACTTCAATTTGATTTTAAAAAGAATAGGTAATTATATTCAAATTAAGAATAGAATTTGAAAAAGTTTTCATTGAAAATAAAACACACTTCAAAACATGCGTATTCAACTTAATGTTTTATTCATCAAGTGTTAAGTGTTTTTACATTCTTAACATATAAATACTTGTTACCATTATGCTATGTGTCTACATCGATGAAAATAATATGCTTCAATGGCTTGAAAAAACACTCGCATATCTTATTTCGAGAGAATTTCGCAAAAAAACAAGACATGGATTTCTTTTTTCTTCTAATTAATGATGAAGTCAACAGAGCTAATCATATTTGTTGAATTAATGATATACAAAATTAGATTAAATCACGTGAATATTATCATAGATAATGCATATCTAACACAAGAATATTAATGCGCGACTTATAAATTTTATCTTGATTACATGCAACAAGCAAATATCGTCTGTTTCTTTTTTTTTATTTGTTTTTGCGATCTTATTTTAAATATTTTTTTTATTCTCATCAGAAACCTTGAGCAGAAAACATAATAAAATGTGTTTATCATTTATTGTTGTATTATTCTTCTGGAATAAGAATTAACAATCCATTTCTCATATGCATATTTAGTTGATGATAATGCAGCAACAACATCATCGTTCTTCCACTGCCCACAAGAGATTATACGCTACAATAGATCACGATGTGCGTGACGTTGTTAGTAGTAGCAACAAGTTGCCAAATGCGTGTTTGTTTATCTGACATAGGAAAAGAAGAAAAAAAAAGAGAGAAAAGAAAGAAGAATCTAGGTACAGTGGCTGAATTTCTTTTTCTGTAGAAGAACTCATTATTATTGTCGGCAGGAAAAAAAAGAAAAACAATTTAATGTAAAGAAATGATCATCATTGATAATAATGCAACATCATGAAAAGCTGAATAGTACAAATATAATAGTGAGTAATCCATTTTCTTTTTTTCTTTCTTTGATAATTATAATATAACCTGATTTTGTATAAATACTTAAGTTCTGTTTAGAATACAAAATACTACAGAAAGTATATTATGCATAAGATCAACATTCAAATTTTTATTTATATACATTCAGTTAAAAAGGTTTTTAGCAAGTTGTTAATTTGCGAATGGGTGCATTTTTTTTTCTAGTATAATCACGAAATATAGCGTGCAAATGAATAGTGATCAGGCGTGCACAAGAGGAAGACATAAACATATTGGCTTTATGTAGTCAAGACAACAATGAATATTGTGAATGAGGTTATTCATCGACTCAAAGTCAATTATATCACCGAATCATTTCCGAGTAGAAAAAGAAAACAAATAAATCATATATGAACGAAATAATGATATTTAACTATGCGGTATTTTTATTACAAAAAAAAAATTTTTTTCAAATATCTTCTAATATTCTATTTCTTGTTTTTAAACGAAAATGTTGAATTAATTCTATCTAAAACTCTATAGAGTATTGCTTTCAATCGAGTTTTTTCCCTTGAGAATTACAACCATTAACAAGTATCTAATTTAATTTTCAATAATTTGTTAGATATTAGAAAATATGTATTTTTAATTAGTTAATATATATATATATATGTATATGTCATGTGTTCAATAGCTTTTTTTCCTTTCAACTAAGAGCAATGAATAATAAAAGTCAATGCCTGTCAAATTAAAGCATTTTTCTTACGTCTAATTACAGGTCAGATGTGATTGCATTTTTTCTTTTTACATGTCAACGTCTACAGGTGACTTTTTTTCATATTAATTACCGATTCTGTTCAGTGAGTGAATCGGATTGCATCCGAAAATGTATAACACATATATAAATAAATAAAAATAATTAGTTATACATGTGCGCACATGTTTATTTACTGTATATCAACTATTTTATTTTTTAAAGTTGCTCATATAAACACACATAGACATAAAATATTTCGGTAGAACATTCAATTTAACTTCAACCTCGGTTAACTTTAAAACTTGTTATTGTTCTGTCGAGAAATGCATCATATTACAATAAGTGGCAGTAGCGCGGCAACTGATAATTAGTTAGTAAAGGATGATCGGAAATATATATATATATATTTATAATAGTAATTTAGGGGAAAAAATACCCTCTAAAGAATATTTTTTTTCAAACGAACCGAAACGAGAGTAAAGAATAAGGAAAAGACGAGGTTAACGCTCCGAAGATTCTCTTTTATTTAAAGAAAGAAAAAAGGAACAAGCACATAAAAAAAAAACAATTTTTCTTTTCCCATTCCTTTTTCTCTCGACAATTATGCCTTGAAGGATGATGTATATTTATCATTGATGATTCAAAAATATATATATATATATATATATCATAGTCATTTATTAGCCTATAATCGCAACATTTCCTTTTTACTTAAAAATAATTTTTAAATGATTTATGATCATCGTTTTAGATGAACTCTTCTTTTTTCTAATATTAAAATACGGGTCAATTGACTCGTAATACTACCTTTTGAATAAATATATTTCTTCTGTTTTTTTTTCATTTTATATTAATTTATAATGTAATATTTCAGACTTTAAAAATGACACGTAATACTCGTAATAATGTCGAACAAACTCCATCACCATCAACAATTGCTATTGATGATAATGTGATTAATTTACCTGATCTTTCAGTTTTTCGAGATGATGAAAAACAACATATTCTCGATGTTTTATTACGTGATGAAAGTCTCCGTAATAAACATATATTACGCTTTACGTACGTAGATTATATTTCTTTTTAAGACTAGTGAAAAAATATATATACGTATGGCTATTATGATTCTTTTTAGGCATTTAAGAAAAGAAGTGGCGAATCTTAAAGAACATTCACAATCAACATCAAATTCAATATGTGCTCGATGTCAAACACCATTTGGTTTTATATTTAATACAGGTGATACATGTCCAAGATGTTCAGCAAAAGTTTGTAAACAATGTCGACTTATCTATAATGTTAATGACAATAGCTGGCTATGCCGGTTATGTTGCAAACAAATGTAAGTTTAGAAGAAATAATTAAAGAGAAAGAAAAAAAGTATTCCGACGCCGGGAATCGAACCCGGGCCTCCTGCGTGAAAGGCAGAAATCCTAACCACTAGACCACGTCGGATGCATTAATTGTTTAAGTATATTTTTAGGCAATTAATGAGCTATTCAGGTGAATGGATGTATTCAATTCGTAGTACTTTTCGAAAAGATCTAATGGATCAATCAGAAATTTTACATGAATCAGTTCCACCTTTTGTTTCTGCACACAGTATGAATAAATTTATTTTTAAATAAAAATTTGATATCTGTTTTAAATAGATTTAAATCCTATATCAAGTTCGGATTCTGATCCAGAAGATATTGTTCCATTAAATAAAAAAAGTCGATTTCATACTCAATCGATTAAAACAAAAGAATCAAAGTCGAATAATAAAATAACTAAGATGATAGTTCAAAATCATAATGATGAAGAAAAACTAAATTATGTTAAAAAATGTATGGAAAGACGTCCATTGGATATAACATTAACACAACCATTACCAAGACGAAATCGTCTACTTGCATCAAAACATAATACAGTAAACAATTCATCAGATGAAGTTAATGCTTTCTTAAATTTATCAAATAAGCGTCAAACTCCAAAATTAAACAAACAAAATGCATCGCTATCAATAAATACAGAAATATTAAAAACAAATTCAAATCAAAATATCAATGTAAATCAACAAGAAACTGATAGCCAATCTGTACGATCATCTGAATTGAAAAATAAGAATAAATCAAAAATAGATAAATTAAAAATTCCACGACGTCATCAATCCTTTAATCGTAAGTTTGAACAATATAGAAAATATTCAGAATGAAATTTATTATTAATTTTTTGAAAGAAATTTTCATTAACACTTTTGAGTAAGATACATGTTAAATTATTTCCGAAATGTTTAATTCATAAAAACGTTGTTTTTTTAATATATACCAAGAACATAACCGAGACTCGTCATTTAAAATGCAAAAGTCCGTTAAAAACTTTATATGCAGATGAAATTGCTATTAAAATATGCATATTTTTTTAATGAAACCATACTTGTTTTGTAAAACATGACCTAAAAGGAAGGTTGAAATATACAAGTAGAAATTTGGACTTCCCACAGATGTGACAGACATATTGAAAACAACTCATTATTGACTGTGACAAACGTCTTAGCAACACTGCTTCCCAACTACGCTACTGACTGTGATCGACATTATTGACATACGATCAAAGACCGTATGTCAACAACGTCTCGTTCTAATATATGAATTACTTTTTTATTGCATTTCTGAAAGAGGATGTTCTAAAATAGATAAAATAAAACAATCTTTCCGTGATTGGCAATAGCTGTTATATCATATTTTTAGATTTTAATCGAGCAGGAATTATGCTAACAGCTTTTTTAAAAATGTTTTATGGAGCTCAATTCAGAATACTTATATATCTTCTTCGTCAAAAAATTAAATAAAATGTCTAGTTTTTTTCAATTTATTCTTTGTAGTTTCAATTATGCAAGAGTACAGAAAATTGATTTTAGCTGTTTTAGAAAATTGATTTTTCGAAAAAACTTTAAATTTTTCTATTAAACAATAAAGCCATTGAGTTTACATATGTTGCTGAAATATCAAGAAAACATTTTCTCTGATATTCCTCTTGATAGAATTGTTTCTCTGTTGAGATCGAACCGATGTTTTTGTTTTTTTTTAAGTAAATTAAAACTTAAATATCTAAGAAATAAATATGTGAATATTTAATTTATTGATAGGTGATTCCAAACTAAGTTTAACATGTCCAACACCTGAAAAACCATCTACTAAAAATCTTAGTATTTCAATGCAAAGTTTACGTCATGTAGTTCATCGTATTTCACATCCACAATTATCATTATCACGTGCTTCGATACATTCGGAAAAACAACTCAATTCTAAAACGTCGACTAGTTTAACTATGAAAGAAGAAGATACAAAATCACTGAAAGTACCCAACATACACAGTCAATCAAGTATGTATTATTTATGTCGATGTATCCGACGTGGTCTAGTGGTTAGGATTTCTGCCTTTCACGCAGGAGGCCCGGGTTCGATTCCCGGCGTCGGAATATTTCTTTTTCTTCTTGCTATGTTTTTTTTCCTTCTGTACTTTAATATTCGACTCACTTTGCTCGCGTTTCTAAAATATATTTTTTACGATTCATACCTGTGTGTGAGGACAAGCATACGTCTCTTATATAAATATATATATATACACGCCTGAACGATTCTTTTATACATATGCTTATGTATATTACCTGTTGCTTTGATTGTCTTCGACATAAATAACTCATTCGTTACTTTTTTATTATTCTATGTAATTTTTTCTTTCTTGTTTTCTTTGCATTGGCAACCAATGAATCATAACGGATTAAAATATTAACTAGTTTCATAAATTACTTAGATGGTTCGTATCATTATCGTTGTGAGTGGTGGGTTGTGAAGATACAAAGCAAAAACAACAAACGTGCTGATCAAAATATATTATATTTATATATCTACAATGACTTTTAACAATCGAAATCAAGTAAGATACGAAAATAAAAAAACACAATAATCTTTTTTCAATCAATTCATTTTCATAAATTACAAACAATATTAAATTAAATGGAAATTGGTATATTTATTCGACTACGAAAAAAAAAACCACCAAAAAATACTGTTACAATCGAAGTCATGTCTAGTAGGAAGCAGTAATAAGTATATGTACATTGTATGACGCATCAGTCACACTTGAATAAGCATCGTTAACTTGACACCAATTTTCATAGTACTGTAAATAGACATCCTTATCGTAGAGTAGAGGAAGAGAGAAAAAAAAATCGTCGCAAAAAAAAAAACTTGATAAGTATAGTTAAGCAATACGTTTACTATTTTCTAATATTACGATGATTTTATTCATCAATACGAAACATTGAAGTGCACTTTTTATAGTACAATGACTCAATTCTATCATCATGAACAACAACCAACACAACTTGTTGAACATTCATCATTATTAACCGAATCCGAAATGCCTAGTCTTTATCCATCATCAAGACATCGTACTTTTATTAGTAAACATCTTACTAATCGTGATGATGATGATGATGATGATGATGATCCTGACTCAATTTATAAAGAAGCATTTATTATTGAAATATTTCAACATTGGAAAGCTAAAGCATTAGAACATCAACATACAATGAACAATTCGGAAAATATTACTACATCTAATGATTTTACTCAAACACTTGAACAGAAAACTTCATCTGTAGAAACATCAAATATGGAAACAATACCTAATGAAACATCATCAAATAACAATAAAGTTGAATTAACAAATATTAATGAACCATCAGTATCAACAATAGCAATGAAGAAACGTACAACACCATTACCAATATCACATACACGTCGGAAAGAGTCGGCAAAAAAATGTATAACAACATTAAGTGAATCTTTAAATCCAAACCTACTCGCGCCTCATACTAAAAATAAATATGGAACAACAACTACAACAAAAAAATCTACTAAGCCAACAACTATATTTATAGAGCCGAAAAAAACTCAACCATCACTTTCACAACGTCCATATTCTGTCTTTTCATTTGAAGAATCTGCTCAAATGAATCGTAGAACTTTATTAGAAAAACAAAATGGAATTGGTGATGATCATAGTCCAACATCAATTTCTTCAACTTGGACACCAACCTCATATATAACATCTACACGTTCCTATCTTCATTCACAAAATAGTTCACATTATGATGATGAAACATCAAGCGATGAAAGTACTCATGAAAGTTTATTAATACGAAATAAAAAATATGTAAAGAAAAGAACAAATAATCAAGAAAAATATCCATTATCGAATCTTTCCAATTTAATTATACCAACAGCTATTTATATAACTGATCCAAATGGAAATTCGCGAACATTCGATTTGAATGATGATTCTATGGAAGAATATTTTCATAGTGGACGAATTATTGATAGAGATATTATTTCAACAAATACAAATGTTCCATATTTTAAGAATATGTCTACTCATTCTTCATCATCTACAGGTGCTAAAGTTTCATCAATAGAACAAATTATTCATGATAAACATGCCTTACATAGTATTGGTGAAGAAGAAGAAGAAGGATCAATAGATAAATATAATTATGATGGTAATATTTTATCAAAACAACTTGATCGTATGGAAGCATTTACACAAGTACGAAAAACAAAATCAAATGTACAGACAATTGATACGAATCGAAATCAACATGAAAATAATCAAATACCATTAGCAAGACGATGGAGTGATGGTTTTGTTAGTGATGATGATAATGAAGATATACCATCACCACAACGTCCAATGACAAAAACGCCTAGTGCAACATCTATTATGAAACCTACAGTAACTCCACCTGTTAAAATATCAAAAACGAAATATCTTCTTATGAAATTACATTTAACACTATCACCACAAAAGAATGACAATTCAAATACATCTGGAACAACAACCAATCTCCCACCACAAAAGCGTACTGTACGACGATCATCGGACAAAAAACGTTATCAGACACGCTGAAAAAAAACATTTGTACTTTTTTCTTTCTCCACTTGTAACTTCATTTTGCCTTTTTTTCTTTCTTTATTAATCGTATTTAAAATTAGATTTTTACTTTTTCATTCTTCAATTATTTTAATATTTAGATTCTCGTACAAATCTTGAAATACGACAATCATCTGTAGATGAATCAAAACAATTATCTAATATTAGTCGTCATAATTCATCAAATACATTTTCTTTAACGAATGCAATTGAATTGCAACCAATACAAAGAACTTCAAATGTAACAGATAATATAACAATATCAAATAATGAAAATGATTCTCAAAATAATCATGAAAATAAATTAGAAAGTGTTAAAAATCATATATCAGCTGCTAATAGTGATATTATTGATGATACAACTGAAACAGTTCAAATGGTACGTTTAGTTTTCTTTTTTTGAATCAGAAAGAACATATTCTAGAAAATAGAAATCGTTATTAAAATTTGATAAAAATAAATATTTAAATAAAATAGTAAGAATATTGAACTATAGGATTCACCTAAATTAACATCTTCCATAAACTGTATTTACGTAAGTTAAAAATTAATGCTTTAAATTCGCTTTTATTACCATACTAAATTATTTTTAATTTTAATTTTTTTTTTGTTGATTATTTATTTACTTTTTTTTTAATTGTTTATATAGAGTTCACAATCAAGTCTAAATAGTGCATGGGGTGAAACAAGATTCCAGCATGATCATGACATATCTGGTACAATTGAATTAAAACTTTCTTATAATATCAATGGAAATTCATTAGATATCTATATTAAAAAATGTACTGATTTAGCTCGTGTTAAACGAAATCAAACATCAAATCCGTCAGTATATCAAATCAAATATATTATCTTATTTCAATAAAATATCTTTCTAGATATTGTAAAATTTATTTATTATCTGATAAATCTAAATCTAGTAAACGTAAAACAACTGTTAAAAAAGATACGATAGAACCAGTATATAACGAAGCATTTCGTGTATGTTTTTATCTTTAGTTTGGTTTTTTTTTTAAATACAAAAAAACAAAATATTTAATTTCTCTTTAGTATCATTTAAGTGCAGCAGAGTTTAATTCATGCACTTTATGGATCTCAATGTGGAGTCAAACATCATTAGGACATAATGATTTTCTTGGTGAAATACATATTCCGTTAGTTAATTGTATCTTAGATAAATTTCAAGTATATACACTTTTAGCACGAATGCCAAAAGATAATGTAAATTATTTTTCAAAAATTTAATGTGACGTTCATTATTTTTTTTTTACTTTTTGATATATAGTTAACATCAAATATTGAACCAACGGCAGATTCTAATGAATTACATTTTGATTTAACTTTTATTGCAAATTCAACAAATAAAGAATTAGGAACTATACAAGTCAATTCTATTCAAGGTAAAACAATTTATTATGGAAAACATAATTTTGATATTATATGCAAAGGGTAAATATATAGGTTTTTTTTAATTATTATTGCAATTATGATTTTATTATTGGTATTTTTTGTTTTTTTGTTATTAATTTAGTCTATTAATACCTGATAAAATGAAACGAAAATTAGTAATAACACGTAAAGGACCATCACCAAAATGGGATATTCCATTACGATGGGAAAATATATCACGTAATAATTTAAAAAATATATCCATGGAAATAAGTTTATGGCGTCAAGAACGTTTTCGAAAAACAATGATTAGTTTTGTTAGACTTAATTCATCCCAAGGACATTTTGATGATAAATTAATTAAATCTTTAAATACAACAGAAGCAGAAAAATCTGCTTGGGAATTATTTTTACAAAAACCAACAAGTATACATCATATTCGACTTCCATTACGATCAGCAACTAATGAGCATAAATAACTTTCAGTTGTATTATTTTCTTAAACCGTTGGTGCTTTATTCTTATCTTCGAAATTCATATTTATGAACATATCAAATTCTACATTTTTCTTTTATATTTGTCATAAACAAGGTGCTCTTATTTCGTTCAATAAATTTTACAACAAAAAGAAAAAAAAAATTTTTTTTTTGTTTAAAAATATTCTCTTACTGTACTGGTGATTCTACCAGTTATTGTTATCATAGAAATATTAGTACTAATCGTTTGATCTATCCATATAAAATATAATGAACTTTTATTCTATATAGATTACGAGTAACTTGAATTGTTTGTACACACGCAACTATCTACCTATAAACTATTTATACCTTGTCATTAATGTAAGTTTGATTCATGGTTTCAATTGAAAAGGTGATAAAAATCTATGCTATAAATTACATTGACTATCATTTGTACATATATTCTTACGTAAATAGAATGATTCAATGTGACTTCTTCATATTCATATCAATTTATTGTTTTTGATGAAATAGTACTACCGGCTATTGATTAAAAAGAAAAAAAACGTCGAAATATAACGTAAATCTAAACAATATGTCATATCATTGTGAACGATAATACAGCAGCAGAATATATTTTGACTTGACTAAAATAAACAAAAGTATATCACAATATTTCTACAATAAAAATTGGTGCACTAATGAGCTTGAAGAAGTAATGATGATGGTTGAAACATAAATATAAATAGTTGGAAAAATTATGAAAAATAATTTTCAATTAACACATTCGCCACGATGAAATCCACTGATGGGTTCCACTACTCTCTAACAAAAATTGGTTGCAGGCAATTTTGCTTTTTTTAAAAACAAAAAGTACACAAATCAAAATAAGCTTTTCTTTCCAAATTATAGAGCTTTTTACGCTGCGTCTTTTAGTAATTTTGCTTTCCTAATAAAATATCTTTAGAGAGTAAAATACGAAATGCAAAGTTCTCGCAGTCATTATCAGTCATCCATTATCAAAGAATGGCGGGTCCTACCGATGGGGCTCGTCGTGGTGAATGTGTTAAATAATAAAAATCTGAGTTAGGGACGTTAATCTTTGCATTTAATTTCGATTTTTCACTTAAAACAATTTGTTAGACTTATAATACACTTGTAACAATGATAGCATCAGTAAAATACTGATTAAATAGCCTTTGCGCTTGCTTTTGTTTCTATATTCAACTAGCAAAAAAAACAAACCAATGTTTCTTTTTGATTTTAAAAATACGTTTGCCTGGAATATCTCGATTCAGATTTTTTTCCATACCGTAGATCTATTTCTGTGTTATTTGAAAATTTTGTCTATTGATATTCAATGAATAATCAAATGAAAATTGCGTTTGAATAAATTATTCTTGATTTAGATCAACAAAACTTGTCTTTGTAGCAGATAATATCGTGAAAAACAATCGAATAAATCGTCATGGTTTCAAGAACCGAAATAAACTTTATATATAGAATATCCTATCCTAGCAATACACTTATATTGTTTCTATCGATAAATGAAAAGGACGGGTATGAATGGGAGCGCAATTTATTTTTTCTCGCACACCTAATCCACACCCACATCCACACCTCCATCCACACCTCCATCCACACCTTCTCTTAGTAATGAATTTTGCGATGGCTACTTCACAGTTTTTTTTCTGATTTCGATCATCTGATTGATCATCAAAACTTACCTTTCCGATTTACAATGACAAAAAAGAAACTTCGATTCCAGTAAAGCGTGGTTATCTTTTGAAGAATAACATTTCATACTCAATTGTTCAAACAATTATTTGTTTTTTTTTAAAGAAAATATCGATTCATCCGTCAATCAATATCGAAAGCTTTGCATCACATTTCGCAGTCGAGAGCAACTTGAATGCGATCTAGTTCTTATATATTTCTTTTATCTAGGACTCAACTGGTTTTTCTTTTTCATATTTCATCAATAAGACTCATAATAATATTAGTAAATTATTTTTCTACAACTCATTTTAACAGATGTTCGTGCATGTTTGTTTATGTTATGAATCAAAAACAAGATTATGATAACGATATAACATTCTTTTCCCTATTAAAAGAACATCGAATATAAAAATAGAAAATGGAATTTAGAAGAAAAAAGCACAATTTTTAAAATTTACTTTGACATGTCAGCTCAAGAAAAAAAAATATCTGGAGATTGACAAAGAAATATTACAAGGTTATTTTTAAAAAATCAACAAGTGACATTCTAAATAAATGGTTTCTATGTTCTTTGATTACTGCTATATCTATAGCTTTAAACAAGACAATTTAACAATTTCAATGATTGCTAAGTCTAATGAAAGTGGTATTATGCTTTTCTTTTCTAGATTGACTGCACTACAAAGACAAGAGTTTTTTTCTTCATTTTGATTCGATCAAAAATTTTGATGTAGTTTCATTTCTACTGGTTGAATCAGCCACTAAAGTAATCAAAGCTACAAATGTAAGGGTTAAGATACACAATTCTTTGAAAAATCCGTGCTTTCGCAAGATTTTGGAAATATTGTTACTATAGCATTACAATGAAAATGAAACCTTAATAGTCTTAATCGATCTATTTATCGAGAATGTGACCAGATTATCACAAAACCTTGTTGTCTAGTGATTGCCTTTGAACTTGATATTTGACAATAGTTGTTATCCTGTAAAAATGCTTTATATTCGTCAAAAACGAACAGGCTTTTTATAGCCTATCGATCTTAGCTTCTATTCGATAGCGCCATCTTTCGAGTCATATTCTAATTTTAATAATAAAATATTTACAACAGTTTAATCACTTAAATTCAGATCTAAATTATAAAACATTCTTCAAATCGATTTCCTACTGGTTCATATCATCTATCAGCATGATTCATGATGAATGAGAAATCTTGGTGTATGAATATTTGCATACTCACGTCATCTTACTTGTTTTCTTTTTTTGACTCATTTTTCTCGCCGATAATTTCTCATATATACAGGGTAGGGCAAAAATAAGTGAGCACGTATTTTTTTTTTTTGAATACCTTCTCCATAAATGAATTGTTCGAACTGATATTTATGGCTCACATATTTCATGGTGGTACTTAGAGAAATTGCATATCATTATTATTTTACTGTAAGAGTACGTTGAAATATATAAGGATGTGTCCTCATACGATGTTATGAGAAATTGATGTTTTCTCCCCTCTTTCGGGTTGTTATCTGCATGTTACTTTACATGGGAATTTGTTGAATGAATTATATATTTCAAGACACTTGTAGAATAAAACAATAATGCTATGCAATTTCTCTAAATACTCCTACGAAGTATGTCAGGTATAAATATCACTGTGAATGATTCATTTATGGAAAAGAGATTCCAAACAAAAAATGTTATTCCTTTACTTTTAGCGTACCTTGTATGTTGTAGTTCAAGTTAGCATATATTTCTGATGAACTAGCAAGATTCATAATGAGAACATGAAATGAATCAGTGATGAGGAGAGAGCGAGAGTGAATATGATCTTAGTCCGTTTTTACTCTCCTTTCACACCCGAGCCTCCCTCATTCTCTAGTTATGAGTCTTTCTTTAAATTCTTCAGTTCATCAGAAAAATAGTTTAATTTCACCTGAGCATATTTTGATTTGGGTCACAACATATATATATATATATTCTATTTAATAGATTGTTTTTGTATTCGATTTAATAAACCACCATCATCTTCAAATAATGGATAGAGTAAGAGAATTATTTCATAGAAAAACACCGAAAGAAATTATGCAAGAAAATAAACGAGCTATTCGACGAGCACGACGTGAACTTGAACGTGAGAAAAATCGATTAAATAATGAAAAAACACGTAATGAAAATGAAATACGTAAATTAGCTGCTAAAGGCGAACAAGTATGTTTATTTTCTTACATTATTTATTTTCATTTTATTTTTTCTTCAATAGAAAGCATTACGAACATATGCCAAAAATATTGTTAATCAACGGAATCAAATAAATAAATTAGGTGCTATGGATGCAACATTATCAACATTAGAATCCGAAGCATCATCAATGAATGCTCAAATGACAATGGCTAGTGTTATGGTCAAAACAACCAAAACATTAGCACGATTAAATAGAATGGTTTGTTTATTTTATTTATATTCAATAGATTCTTATTATTTGTTTTTTTTTTGTGAAACACCATCTAAAAAGAATACTCCTGTCTTTCAGCTACTTTGCGATATGGAGTGCTGGCTAGCCATAGATTCAATAGCCCGATACCTTCCTTATAACTATCGCTAGCTTTGGACAGAAGGTCGGCCTGACACAGAGTTCTTCCGCTCAATCACTTGAACTTCCCATATACGCTAACTAGCCACAAGAGCAAGTATATGTGACAATGTCGTCAGCACATTATCAGACGGGTGATCCGAGACATAGCCGTTATTGACTTGTTCAGCATAGTAACCGATCTAAAAGGAGTGTTGAAGTACACAGCAATGTCAAAGAAATGAGAAATAGGGATTCCTAAGTTTTGAAGGATCTCTTAAGAATACTATGATAATCCCTTGAAGAATCGATCATTAGTACCCTTACAGTTTCGCCATTCATAAAAGCCAAAGAAATGCATTTTCTGAAATAATTATCCTACTTATATATTCATGTTCACAAATTCCTTGATGAATATTAATGTGAGAGCACAAAAAAATATCGTGCCTATTGTACTTTTTTCATTCGAGGAACTGCGGCGAGAATTGAGACGGAATTCATGTTTCTTAGTCCTTGGACACTTCTCACTACATTTTGTTTCGCATTTTAATTCCATAGGAATTACACTAACAACTTTTTTCATTAAATTTTAGATGCCATTACAAGATTTTCAAAAAACCATGCAAATGTTTGAACAAAATATGACAGCTAATAATATAAAACAAGAAATGATGAATGATGCTATGGATGCTGCTTTTGAAGGAGATGATGATGAAGAAGCAACGTAAGAAAAATTTTTTGTTGTTAGATAAAAAGAAAAATTAATATTATCAATTTTATTTTAGTGAAGAACTTGTTGATCAAGTCCTTAGTGAACTTAATATATCTGTAGCTAATCAAATACCTAGTAAGTTAATTTAATAAGATTAAAAATAAAGATACAATCATTTATTATCTATTTTCTCAGATGCACAAAATGGTGCTTTAGCAGGTCGTGCTGCTAACCCAGCACAAGCTCAACTAGCAACATCTACGGCCGATGCTGATTTAGAAGCTCGTCTTGATGCTTTACGTCGAAATTAAATAAATATTAATTGTACAGAAGAACAAATATGCTTACAATTTGATTTATTCTTTTTTTTTATTCTATTTTTAAGTTTTAAATTATCTATAAAATTATTTGTTTTTTGTCTATATTTTTGCTTCTTTAAAAAAATAATATACATGCATTTTTTTATTCGTTCTTATAATTGCGCAAGAACGAGGCAATTGTGCGTCAGAAGAAAGAAAAAAAAATATATATAAGGAGGTAAAAAAACCAAATATACAAAAAAAACCTGTTTATAATGACGACTGACAAGCAACAACAAGAAGAAGAATTGCTTATATTGAAATCAATTTTAGGCGATGCAATTACAGATTTCAGTAATGAAAATGATCAATTTGAAATTGACATTGAATTTCAATTGTCGACACCATTTTATTTACGTCTTATCGATAATTCTAATCAATTATCAACATTAATTCAACATCTTCCACCATTAATTTTAACTGTACATTTTCATGATCAATATCCATCATCAATATATTCTCCAACATTTGTTCTATCATCATGTTATTTATCTCGTGAATATCTTGAAAATATGTGTCAAAAATTAGATAAAATATGGGAACAAAATATAAGTGAACCTATTGTTTATCAATGGATTGAATGTCTTAAAGAACAATTTTTATCAATTAATGAACTTTGCCTATCAAATAAAGCTATAAATAATGATAATGATAATGATGATCCACGAGCTATGTCTAGTTATCAACCTAATCAAGCTGCATATGTCTATGAACAATTAATAGAATACAATCGACAAAAAGAAGATGAAAAATTTCTTCATGCATATCATGAATGTCCTATTTGTATGTCGAATAATATACCTGGACGTGATATGATACGGTTATATAAATGTCATCATACTTTTTTGTCGAATTTGTCTACATGATTATGCTCAAATTCATATAAATACAGGTTCAGTACAATGGTTGCTTTGTCCTGATTTACAATGTCAATTAGCATTATTACCATCGGAAATAAAAATAATTGTTAATAATGATCAATTATATGATAAATATGAACGATTATTATTACAAAAAACTCTTGAACAAATGCCAGATATTGTTTGGTGTCCAAGGTTATTTAAAATTAATTTCGTTTTAAATATCATTCTATAATTTTGAATGCATTCTTAGATGTCAACAACCAGTTTTAATAGATAGTGAAGAAGATAATCTAGCATTATGTGCTCAATGTCGTTTTGCATTTTGTAAAAAATGTAAAAAAACTTATCATTCTCAAACCTTATGTGGTCATGAACTTGAAATAGCTGAATTAAGAGAAAAACATCGTAAATTACGTCAAAAAATGCAATTTCTCAATTTAATACCAGATGATGCAGAAAAATTTTTACGCGAATTTCTTGCTGTTGCAAGAATCGAAAATTCAACACGTCTTTGTCCAAATGCAAAGTGTCAAGTACCAATTGAAAAAAATCAAGGATGTGATCATATGTATTGTACACGTTGTCGTACAGTGTTTAACTGGAGTGATGCTCAAGATCAAACAACAGAAACAAAAATTTTAATTGAAAATTATGAAAATGATCTTGATAAAGTACAACAAGCATTAGAACATGAAAGAAACATTCAAGATAATCCACATGAATCTATGTCATTAAAAGAACCTATAATTAGTAAGCTCCTTGTAGAACGTACTAAAAAATGTCCAAATATAAAATGTGGAAAGCTCAATATTAAATCTGGCATTGGTAATTATCTTATTTGTCAACATTGTAAACGAGGTTTTTGTTTCTCATGTGGTCGTGCTGTAATCGATCCTAAAACTCATTTTGGAGTTGCATGCAAAAGACACTCGGTTTTATAATATTCAAAGTAAATAAATAAATAAATCAATCATAGTTAAAAAAAAAAAAGAGCAAGTTCCTGATGATAAAAAATAGTTAAATATTACATAGTTGCAGCTAAATCATGTTCTTCAATAAGGAATAAACCACTATTAACATTAGAACTTTCTCTTCGAGGATTGTTTGTTACAGGTGTTCGTTCACGTATTAAACCAAATAATTGTATTCGTTTATTTCCAGAATCAGTAACAACAACAGTTCCATCATTTGTTATATCTAAACCACATGGACGTTTCAATTGACCAAGTCCACAACCTTCCATACCAAAACTTGTTATAAAATAACCGTCAGGTGTACAAATAACAATACGATGATGATCGGTATCAGAAATAAATATGCGATCATGAGTATCTATAGCTAAGCCAGAAGCATTATCAAGACCTAATCCATTTGTATCAGTTATATATAATGGATTGACATATACAGGTCTAAAAATCATATACATATATATATATATGAATATATAAAATTGTGAAATAAATCAACGTTAATTCTTACCCATTAGTATATTTTGGAATAAAACATATGGCAGTACCACCAATAATACAAACAAGTCGACCAAATTTTGGTTGAAAAGCAAGTTGAACTGGATCTAATGGGTAATTTTTTTTATTATGTATAAATAATTCAATTATTCGTTCACATATACCATCAGGTGTAATAACTTGTACACGATAATTTCCTCGATCACAAACATATAAATATCCATCACTATTATCGACAGCAATACCAGCTGGATTATAAAATTGATGTATTTGATTACCTTTTGTACCTAATTTAAATTGTTTATAAGAATAACAATTGACTTGATTTGAAGTATCATTTGGGTAATACATATGAAGACAATGATTAAAATAACTTGCAACAATAAGTCTTCTATCAGAAGCAACAACTATAGCTGTTGGTTGAAATTTACTCATAACTGTACCACTAATTACATGTTCACGTGTACCATTAATATCAAAAATTTCAACAAGACTTCGACCAACATCACATAAATATATTTTATTTGTTTGATGATGAATAGAAATATCAACGGGTTGTGTTTGATCTTTTGCTTGAAGTTTTATATATTGTATACGTCTTTTATCCGAATATCGTTCATTTAAAGTTAAATCATCAGCAGTTAATTCATTTGTTATTGAATTTGAAACAATAGAATTAAACATTTCATCATAATTAAATTGTTGACCTGGTTCACTACTATCAAATACAGATGGTGGTTGTTTGTAAAATCTACCTAATACAGGAAAACGTTGAACAAAACGATCAATTTTATTCTATAATATCATCGATGTATATTGAAAATAAAATTGATAAAAAATAAATACTCACTGATACTCCTTTCTTTTTATATGGGTTTTCATAGTTATAATATTCTTGTTGATAATAAGACGATGTTTGTTCTGCTCCATGACCTTCATCTATATATATATATATATAAGTAAAAAAAGAAAGAATATCGATTTTGTAAGTGTCACAGGATGTTTTTCGAAGAAAAAAATGGCGAGTGTAAGTTTGAAGTCGAGATTTTCCTGGCTCTTTCTTCATAGCGATAGGAAGAAGTCCAATGGTCATAAGCTGCGTTTTTCTAATAATCGAGGGCAACAGTCATCAAACTACTTTGCTAGAATTTCTTAGGAACGGAAAAAACCGTTAAACACTCGTTCTAGAAAGTCCCCGAGCATTCTAAAGCCTTTCTCGATATTTTAATGACTGGAATACATTAGTGTTCAGTTTTTTATTTTTGTACAGATATAAATTTATAATCAAGATATTGAAGATGATGGGTAGTGATGCATTGATATGTCACAGTCGTCATATGACCAACATAAAAAGTGTGAACAGATCAAGTTATAAGTTTGGAAAATAATCAGTATCCTTGTTTCTGAACTTATCGAGATGTATCATAGTGCGTTGAGATCTGCTGTAAACATAATGGATATGTACAGAGTGTCCGAAAAGTCATAGACCAAAAAGAGAATTGTATATCTTCATTACGATTCTATTGGATGAACTGATTTTTGTACTGATGGTAGAGAACACTTCCGAGTTTTTATTCATAAATATAAAGTACCACTTCCTGATTCAATATACAATAAAGTTCTTTTTCAAGCTGTAAAAAAAAACTACCTGCAGGATTTTTTCTTAAGTTTTGTCCTATTATTTTGGACTTTCAGTCATTCAGGCCTATTTCTCTTGATTTATAAACATTTGTTAGATATTTTAAACAACCTAGACATATTGATTTGAAGTCTAATGTCCGTGAAAATCCTAGGATTGCATTAATTTACTCAGTTTACCTTGCATTAGAATTTTTGATAAAGGACAAACAAATTATTTTGAAGAAATCTACTAATTACTCTGAATTTTTCAGACGTGTCAAAGAAATGTTTATAAAGCAAGAGAAATAGGCTTGAATGACGGAAAGCCTACATTAGTGAAACAAAGTTGAAGAAGTTCACGAAAAAACAATTCTACATATTAACTTTTGCAACTCAAAAAAGAGCTTTATTGTGTATTGCACCTGAAAATGCTACTTAATATTTATGAGTAAAAACTTGGCAGTGTCCTCTGCCTCGTGATAAGTGAGACCATTCGTTTTTGATTCCAGTCTTAGTTAGAAAAGATTCTGGTTACGTTTATGTGTTAGACAATTCTGTTGTTTACAAAAAAAAAAAAGATTTAATTTTACGATCAAAATTGTAACAGTAGATATTGAAGTAATCGTTACTCAATAATTTTTACATCAACTTTTAAAACATATGAATTGTGAGAATATGACATTTGACGCAAGTTTTATACGGCCATAAATGAGATATCACTCCCAATGAGAAAGTTGGTGGTCCTAATTCCAGTTTCTGGTAGGACCGAAACTATTTTCCCCATATCTACCTCTACTACCAGTACAAAAATCAGTTCATTCAATAGAATTACAATGAAGATATACAATTTTCTTTTTTGGTGGTGATGTTTCGGACACTCTGTACAAAAAGCCGATTTGCTAGTTAAATCAGTGGTTAGAATAATAATGTTTAATTAAGCGCAGCGAATTATGAAAATATAAAACAACGACAGAATAACAAAAGAACAAACAAAAATATAACACCAGTAACAAAAGAAAAATTTTCTATTCGAAATGCAGAAATAATAAATAAGAGAGATTGTTTCTCTGGTAATTAATTATCCTTGGAAAAAAAATTATAATCTGTTACAGATTTTTCACTTAACATATCTTGTATTAGTATAATGAGACTAAAGAACACATATGAGTTTCAATTTTAGTTCTAAAGTAACTGCATTAACAAACTTTTTTAAAAATACTTGCCATGGTGACGTTCCAATTGATCTTGATTCCATTCTTCAGAAGAACCTTCTCCAGTTTCCCAATATGGTTTTGTTTTTTGTTCTATAATAAAAACTGGAGATTGCTGTTCATCGGGTGAACTCGTTTGTTTGTCCGCGTCACTTGATGGTTGACGCGTCCAAACATTTTTATACGCAGAACGCTGTGAATTGCTATTGGTATTTGATTTATTTTTGTCATCTTGTACTATTTATTAAAAAAAAAGAATAGAAATTCATATTCCCGTGAAAGAAAAAACAACTCTCTCATACATACTGTTCAAACTTGCCGCTGCTTTATTATCTGTATATTTTGATGAATCAAAATTATTGGCCATATTTAATATTGTATACGTTTTTATCGCAAGGCGCTATATATATATATATGTATATAATAAAGAAATGTCGTGCACATGCAGTGATTTACAATATATCAATGTGTTTGTATTGCATTTGCTTGGTTTGTCGATACAGCTGAATGCACAAATTTTTTTTTCTTGTTCGAAGGTAACAAACGAAAGCTATTACCTGTTATAATTTTTTTTAGGCATTCATCAGAATAAAAGCATATAATGTCTCGCCTATCACCATCAACAGCAGTTCCGAATGTATGGGCTGCAGCTGCAGGTTCTTCAGCACCTGGGCCTACAATAACAGGACCTATACTACAAGATGGTGGCAATCCAACCGGGTTATCTACGATAAATAATCTGAATGTACCATCATCTACAATAGGAAATAGAAGCAATCTACCACCGATTCCAACATTTCCTTCTGTTCAACAACCAGTAGGTCTTGCGAATAGTTTAGGTTCAAATTATTATGCTACATCTACTAGTGTACCACCATTCAATCCAATTGCAACAAATTTTGTATGTAATTTATTATTTTAAAAAAATTATCTATTTCCTTGAAAAAAAAAACAGGTATCAGATCCAACACAAATTATTCGAAATGAAGCTAACAATCGACGATTGAGGCAACTTGAAGATGAAAATGCACAACGTCGAAATGCTGTAAGAGTAATAGATCAACATAATGAACATATTTTCTACTTTTATTTAGGCAATGTCTCTTCAACAAATGGGTACACATATATTACAAAGTCAGATGGATGTACAAGAACAAGTATTACAATATCAATTTGTAAATATAATTATGAAGTTTTTTTTTTAATTGATGTCAATCAAAATAAAAATTCTAGATGTTAGAACAATGTATGGATACTCTTGATTATCAAAATTTTATTTTAAATGGACAAAGTGAAGAATTAGCATTAATTCGAGCAAAAATGCGACATTTTGAATATTTTATGGATGCAATTAAACAGATGAAAAGTATAATCTATTACCTTGAATATTAAATAATTTACATCAATAATTTCTTTTTTTTAGAAAGTAAACTTCTTCGACGAAATACACTCGAAGATTCTAATATCAATGATTGTGATTTTTTCAATGTTCCAAATCCTTTGTAAGTTTAAATTTTTTGTTTTTTTAATATTCACATAATTCCATATTAATACTTTTAAAAGATTACCTCTTTTCACTGGACGTCTAACTTCATCACAATTTCAACCTCTCAATCTACGATATCGATCACCAACTGGTCGATCATCAAAGCTAAACGAATCTCGAAGGATGACACCATCAATGTCAAATTTAAGTACCGACAATGTTCGTCTTTCACGTCCTCTTAGTAATCTCAACAATTGATCTTCTGTTTTTTTTTCTTCTGTCTGATATCAAAGTAATTCAGATATATCAATAAATATAATTTCAATGAAATATACAACTAATATATTACACACTAGTAGCTATATATGCTCTTGAAGACATTGGATCAAAACTATCATTTGTATGATGATATATAATATCAAATGTTTCATTTGTTGATCTATTTTCATTTGTTGATATTATTCGTCGTTTTAATAAACGATGTAAATGTCTATATGTTTTATGATGACGATTTTTTTGTTGTCGAATAATAATATATAAAATAATAATTACTATAGGTAATAATACAACATAATAAATTCGATAACGAAAAAAATTTGATAATTGATTTCTTTGTTTTGTTATTTGTTGTTGATAAAAATAAGATACATTATAATATTTACCATAAATTGTTATACCTTCATCAGGTAATATATCACATTGAAGTAAACGTTTTTCAAAATGACATATACGTTCTTCTTGTGTTAAAATATATAAACTTGAATTTGAATAACAATAAGGTGTTAATGACATAAATGATTTATCTAAATGACGATATAAATAACGAAGAGTACAAGAACAATCATTTAAATTTTTTGAAAATTGTACAACAGTTTTTAAATTTGTTAATGGTGAAAATTGAACAAATGTACAAAAATGTTTATCATCATTTAATTGAAAATTATGACTTTGATTTAATAACAAAATGTCTGTATTCATATGAATAAATGCATATGGATCAAGACGAAGAATATTTTCACCAAGATTTAATTCTTTTAAATGATATAAATTGAAAAAAGCATTATTTTCAATAGTAGTTATTCCATTTAATATTAAATATTCTAATTGATTTAAATGTTCAAACATTCGAGAAACTATATGTTGAAGTGATTTTGAAAATATTTTTAATGATCGTAATTGTGGAAAACATTGAGCTAATTCACGATTATTAAATGAACGAAAACCATCATTAACATTATAGTTTTCCAATGTTAATTCATTTACTGAATTGAAAACAATTGGAAAATGTTTACCTCGTAATTGACGAACACTAATATCTTTTATTGAAAGTTTATAAATTTGAAAAATAAATGAAGATTTATGATTTGACGATGAAAGAAAACCAGAAAACGATGGATTATTAATAATTAAATGATGAATGGAAACTGTCTGATAAAAAAAATCTATCGGTATTTGTGGATTAGTATTAATTAATTTAAATTCATAACAATTAAGTTTGGAAAGTGCTCCATTAGCATAATAAAGTGATGGTGAATTAAGAAATGAGATAATAAGTTGATCTTGAGAATCTGACAAACTCAATTCTTCAAATATACCTAAATAAAAATAACCATAGAATTATATAAATAAAAGGCAATGATTACAAAAACTAACCAGGTTCAGTATGTTCAACATTAACAAATGCAATAACATTACGATTATTTGTTTTATGTGTTTGTTTTACACTTTGAGTTTCAAAATGAACAAATTGGAATGCTTTAGTTGGTATATTTGGATAATTTGCAAATGTTAATGTACGAAAACGATAATAAAAATATTTTAATTGTTCAAATGTTGTTATTTTATTTTCTTTTACTTGATCACTTGAATATGTACAAAATAAATCTTGATTTAATAATGATCGTGGTTTAGATAAATAACTTGTATCAATAAGTGCAAATAGAGGAAAATTTGTACATTTACACATAGTTAAAAATTGACATTCATTTCCATTAATATTTAATAACCCTGAGAAGATATTAAGATACAAAAGAAGAAAAAGAATGATGAACATTGTATTGATATGTTCACCATCAATTAATATGTGTCAATATTAATGAGAACATATCTAAAAAGAAAGAATAACAGCATGCATAGAAAACGTTTGTGTGTGTGTGTGTGTGTGTGTGTGTGTGTGTTTATCTTCTTCTTCTTTCTCTGGCACAGCTAGAACATTCAATTATAATAACGGATAACAATAACTATATGCTGATAGGGAGGGAGTTATTAAAGAAATGAGGTGCAATGTACTCCAAGGACTAACACATACAGATGAATGAACTTATGGAGAAAAGGATCTTCATTCTAAATCTCAACAAGGACGTTATTATACTCAATTTTCAAGGAAATAAAAACGTACGGAGCCATTAGTCTTATACGGCTATTGTCAGTACGATTATTTGCTCATTTTCATTTAGAGAAGAAGAAAAAAAGAAGCATACTCCCGACTCTTTCTCGTATGCTGAGCACATTTTCTTCTGGCGGTTTATTTCGTAATCATGTTTCCTTTGCCACATATATTCTCTTTCTTTCTCTATACTATTCTTTTCTTTGCCTTTCTTTTTTTTTTGTATCAATACCACATCACTGAAACTTGTTAATGTTGAACATTGTCGTAGTTATCATCGCCACTGCTGTCGATTAGTATGCATTTAGTAAAAAAAAAGAGTTAAATTTACTGATTCTCCCTTACTTGAGCGCTCAGTTGTACACTCATCTGATGTACATATTCATATGCACGTATATTTAAAATGACATTTACACTTTTCTTTTATGCCTATGTTCTGTTTTAAAAAGACGATACCCTAAAAAGTCATCGTTATATCAATAGGCTCTTATTGCATCACAAATAAATGCAATGCATTCATTTCTATTTTATTTTATTTTATTTTATTGTAACGAAGAAAAATATCTGTTTTTTTTAAGCCAAGGATTGTAAATATTCGGTTTTACTATATGTATGTCTGTATGTGTGTGTGTGTCTTAACCCATAATTAAATATGATTATCAAGACAGATGGGTCGATCAGTGTATCTTAATGACTTTTCTATGGTTTTGTATGAAAGCAAGAGGCGTAAATGTTGCAAGGTCATTCGAAAATGTTAACAACGATAGTAATGTACCGTGTAATTATGGCAATACTGTCATATACTATATGTATAGATGGTCAGGATGATAAAATTACACAATGTACGAACAATATGAGAATATATAGATGTTGTTCCGTTTTACACTAAATAAAAAGCTGCTTTCTCTAGAAGAGCAACAGATTGACTTGGCACCACCAAAAAAAAAGATGAGTCACATATTTGAGAAAATTTACGTAATTTCCTGTAATCACAAATCGGAAGTGTCAATCGAATAAAACTTGAATGTGTGATGCATAGATGCGTGATGTGATGGTTATATTGAATTCAATTGTAATCACGTAGATATCGTTCTACAACAAATTTAATTATACATCTGTTAGACATCGAATAAGCTCTTCTTTTCTGTTTAATATCGTGTTTTTCTTGTAAACATGTTATTGTCATTTACATAAAATATGAATTATGAAGAAGTATTGAAAAACACCTCGGCAATTTAAGTTTTATAAGAAAAAAAAAGATATTGAAGTCATCGATGATATATTGCCAGATAATTAAAAGAAACAACGGTTTACTTAGGACTTTTGATTTCAGATACATTCATATTTTATAAGTAAGACAAGGTAATTGATTCAATGTTCTTTTCTTCAACACTCAACTGTAGTCTAATCATTACTTAATGTTAGCCGACTTCTTTTAATTTGGATAATATTTTGAGAAGGTATAACGAGTTTTGCTCATATAAACATATTTTTATAGACTCTGATCAAGTAGGTTTGTACATATATGAACAATTACTGTGCGACATCGATAAGTGGTAATGATCATAAAATAAAATATTTTTTATAGTAGCCACAATAAATAAGATGTTTAATGTTTCATTCATAAAAAATATGACCCCTACAATAAGGATAAAATTACGAAGTGACTTAAAATCATGATTTCCATTATTTCTTTTTACAGTCTCATTTACGTTTTATTTCTAGTTCTATATGCTGGATACAATGTATAGGTATATGATTCTTGCAGATGTTACCATTGTTGCCTACTATTTTATTCGTCTTGTATCCATCATAACAATTTACGTCTATATTTACTATCGAGTTTTAAAAGGCCTAAGGAGACGCAAAAGGATAGTGAATAATAGCATAAATACATCGACAAGCCAGTGTAAAAAGTAAGAAATATATCATTCTTTGAAAATGATCTACAATCGATATGGTGTTAAAAATATTCCAGCAATTAAGTGTGATATTACTTGAATAAAATATGATTAAGTTACCACTATAATTGACATATGAGTGAAATAGTGACGTCATTGCAAACTTTTCTCACTCGTCTGTCAAGATAAAAAGATAATAAATATATTTTTGTTATATTGCATAACGGGAAAAAAAAGCAATGCGATAAATGAATTTCATACTAATAAGTGTCTACATGTATCTCAACGAGGTTTAATTCGCTATACTACAACAATAATTATAGTAGCGATAGGTGTCGCGATGAGGCTAAAGGTTCTTGGTAGAAATCAAATAATACATTATTCATTATTGTTCATTATAAAATGTGTTGTTCTTGTTGAAAAAAGAAAGTGACGATTGACTATGACAACGATCAGAAACAAACTTCTTCTCTTTTGTGCATGAGTCTAATTGACAGGTGAGAAAAGTAAATCTGTCAGAATATAAACGGAAATTGATTTGATAATTAAAAAGAGATCATTTAGTTCTTAAGAATAAAATGATCAATTTTTTTTCAAAGTTGATACGTTCCTAGGTCTAATCAAACGGACTCATAAGCGATATAAAACTTCGGAAACTAGTGCTGTTACGTTGTCATTTCCCGTCATCTAGTAAAATAGTGAAACTAGTAGAAAAAACAATGGCTGTTTGTTAGCGAAAAAAAAAATAGTCCATAAAAACGGATGACGGATTGTAGAAACATACGGCGAAACTTGATGCAGTTATACACCATTTTATAGCTGCTGCAGATCATTTAGGAAGTCATTTCTGACAATCGGAATATTTGTCCTGAATTAACAAGAAGTCTCTAGTCTAACCTTGAAAAATGTTGGACACGCTCAAAAAAGCGCGTAAATAATAGTTCGAAAATAATTATTTTTGAAATACATTT